AAGATGAAGATTCTAATTTAAATAAGAGGTTGAAGATGTGATAAGAGGAGAGAGTAACAGTGTTGAGGTTTGATTTTTGGATAAGGATACCGCTTTCCGGGCTTTTCATTTATCTGTTTATTATACTTTTGAGAGGTATGAAGACATCATAAAGGGATAGAGTAAACTAATTGATTTTGAGATTCTAATATTTTATTAGTGAATAACTATTAGAGATACTTTGTGCCTCTACCCCACTAATGATTTAGAATCGTTCTTATATAAGAACCTTCGAAATCGGTTATTATCAATAAAAAAAAATATATTTTTAAATATTTTTATTTAAATAAAAATGTAGAGCTCATAAAGTGAATTAAGGATTTAAGTATTAGAAGACCCATAAAAAATAGATTAAAAATATAAAATAATATTAATAAAAAGTATTATTATAAAAAAATAATAACAGAATTCGAACCATAAATATTTTCATTAAAGAAAAAAGTAACCACCACTTAAACTTTTACAGATGTGACAACAACAATTTCTAAAAAAAGAAAAAGAAGAAAAATGTGACAACAACTCTTTACGGACATATATTTTTTTTTTCTTGCTTTTGACGTTTTGTTTAGCATTTCTGCACTGCAGCTAACAATTTGAGAAAAATCTGTTTTATTTATTATTTATGAACTGTTAAACCCAATGACGCATACCAACCAATAAAATTCACACAACTGGAATTTCTACCCAATAACCGACACTCCGTTTTCTCGATCCTTTGTCCTCATAAATATATTTTATGACTTTCCTCTTTAACTCCATCCCCATATCTTTGATCGACCAAACCGGTGTTCGGTTACACACACCCAAATACTGAAGAAATAAAACAAAAACAAAATAAAGAAGAAAAGAAAACTGCAGTTATGATGCTGCGATTATAGGATCAAGATTCCTCCGAAAGGAACTTATGATATTGCAGTTTGATCATCTACCAATTCATCTTATGTTTCATGCTGCCATGTATATCAAATCACGCAAAGAAACTAATAAAACAATAAAAAATGTAGTAGAAAAAAATTAAGATGATAGTGAAAGAATGTACCAGAATAATTCTTTAGGTGCATTAATGATAAAAAAGTAACTTTTCCATAAAAATAAATATGAACTGTTAAAAAAATGACAGATCAAAGTGCACTAAGTAGGTAATATGTATTATCTTGTGTGCTCACTGTATGTACATTAGGGAAAATATTTTGAAAATTAATAATGATATGCATTGCTGAAATTAAAGGTTTGTAAGCATGAAATGCACAGGCCGAAAGTAGATAAATCACATTGTGCAGAGTTTTGAAAAATGATTAATTTCTCGTGTGTGCTCACTGTTTGTACATTATGGAAAAGGAAGGGGTTAAAGAAACGCACGATCATTTAAAATAAATTAATGAGTATTCAAATCAAAGCATCAATAATCAATAATAAATAAATAAAAGAGTATTCAATGACATCAATAAATTATTCAAATACATGCAGAATCAAGTTTTACCAAACAATATGACACAATTAAAAATATAAAAATAAAAATGGGAATTCAATGGTAGGGAAACCTCCATATGTGAAAAAGACGGTGTCACAAAGAGAAAGGCATTGGCAGAAGCAACAAATTTTGAACAATATAATGTCGCGGGGATAACAGGGACATGGCAATGCCCACAGAAACGTAAGCCTGATGTTGGGCCTGCTATGAAACAACTTAGCTAGGCTTGAGCGCTGGGTTCGTAGAATTTTAGAATATTATTTCACCAATCAACAAAAGAGTTTTCAGTTCACCGAGGAAACAATTTTCGAAATTATATAGATGTAGAACAACACGTAAGAATGAAAGGCGGTGTCACAAAGAGAAAGGCATTGGCAGAAGCAACAAATTTTGAACAATATAATGTCGCGGGGATAACAGGGAAATGGAAATGCCCACAGAAACGTAAGCCTGATGTTGGGCCTGCTATGAAAAAACTTAGGCTTGAGCGCTGGGTTCGTACAATTTTAGAATATTATTTCACCAATCAATAAAAGAGTTTTCAGTTCACCAAGGAAACAATTTTCGAAATTATATAGATGTAGAACAACACGTAAGGATGGTTTTCTTGGGGACATGAAAGTGAATGTGGAGAGAAGAAAGAAAGTGACGTAACATTCAAAATGATTACCCAAGAAAATGTACTAATACAGATTGCTGATTTTACACAAAATAAATTACCTTGCGACGGTAAACGGATTCCTTGGTAGTTTTTATGGATTGTGGCAGCTTTTTTTCAGTTATTGCGTGTTGCTTAACTACTTATATGTACTTAAGTGATAATTATGTCAATAATTAAAGGAATAAAATGTCTTAAAAAAAGTGGAAACCAAACCCATGTATTCCCTTTATCTATTGTTATAGATATATATAGAGAGAGAGAAGGGTTCAAATGATACTAGTGTAACTTTTATTAAGTGTTACACCGCGGTTTTTTTTTCACTTACTGCGTGTTGCTTAACTGCTTATATGTACTTAAGTGGTAATTATGTCAATAATTAAAGGATAAAAATGTCTTAATAAAAGTGGAAACAAAACCATGTATTCCCTTTATCTATTGTTATAGATTTATCTATTGTTATAGATTTATGTATTGTTATAGATGTATTTGTCCTTGGGATAAATTTCATATTCTATGTTGTTTATGTATTTTTAATTTTTTTAACTGTGCGCATCGATTAGTTACGGAAAGACTCTTTTATTCTTGCTATTTTCAATACTATTTTACTTTTGTTGCCTTCATTATTTTGAGATGTTGAAGGATAATTTTGAGGTTGTCTTACTACTATTTCTTTTTACCTCTTAGGTTAAGATTACTTAATTAATATTCATAAAAAAAAAATAGTCATTTTAATTTTTTCTCTTATGTTTTATAGAATGAATCACTTTATTCCTGAATCGTGGTCTAGCTGACCAACAAATTTACTATCCTTCGTTTCTCAAATATTTAGTTCTTTAAGATTAATAAAAATATATAGATTAAGAAATCTACTTGAGACGGATGAAATATTCTTCTAGGCAGATTGTGTGTAAGGCACAAAACCAAAAGCCAATGAAGACTGTCTTAATTAAGCCCCTCAACTATTTAGGATATCAATTTTTTAATAAATTATTTATTATTAATTAAGTGAAGTGATAAATTTTATTATGATATATATATATATATTTACAGCAAAAAAATTATCATAATTAATGATACAATACTTATCAATAAAAAATTATTTTTTTTATGTGCTATAGATTTCAATATACGTTAGCATGTTGTTAAAAAATGTAGATATAAACTATAATGATACATAATATATGTTATTAAATCCCAGTCAAAATTAACACTAAAATTTTATATAATTATATACTAAATAAGTTTATACATATTATAGTGACATTTTTTTAATATATTTTTGTATTAAACATTCCTTGAAGTGGTTATTTACTTCTATTTGTATCAGTAAAATTATATAATCTTAAGATATGAAAATAAGTGTTATTAATTATTAAATTATTTGTGTAATTGTATTATTTGTTTTTAAAAGTTAATAAAATTATTATGTATCCATCTATTTAGACTCTACTTCTCCATAGTCCATACCCTAAAAAATGCTATTGAAATTAATATAGAATATAAATTTAATGAATGAATTTATGATTAATATGTATAAAAAAAAAATGTTCATTCTCTATATACACATAATGAATGAATTTGTTCACGTACACACGCCTAACTAAAGATTTTTTTTTCTCGTATTGTCATTCTCTATACATATTCTATTAATGTACATCCTTAATTAGTTGAATTCTTAATGCAGTAAAAAAAATAGCTTTCAAAAATTAAAATTACTAAGATTTTATCCAAGATTACCTATTAATAATTATTAAATAAAGTTATTATTTTATACAGTAAGAGTGAAATGTCAAAAATACCTTTTGTTTTTTTAGTAAAACACACCTAATGCATTTCACTTATAATGTGTTGAAACATATATGAAGGAATGTAATTAAACTCATGAAAATTAACATACAATTCAGTAGTCCAAACTAAATTATGAACCATTGAATTTGTTTGTTTGGAAATGTAACTAATATTATAGTTGGGGAAACTACTTAGTGCTTGTGAGCACTTTTGTGTCAAAGAGTCAAAATTCAGATAAGTCACTCGTAGATATTTATGAATGCTGAACAGTAATCTCTGACAATCCAATTCTAAAGACACTTTGTTAAGACCTTGCTCACAAAGCAATGGTTTCGCATTCATGTGGCTCAGCCGCTCAGGGATAAAGGGGTATAATCTTGTTTTTGCTTTAAAGCACCTGTGTGGTCCTTCAAACAGAGGCCAATTCCAAAAGGCTATACTTAATTATAAAAATTTGATAAATGACTCTGTAATTGACAAGAAAAATAAACATTAACATTAGCCTCTCCCGTTGCTTAGACTCTTACTATCTGGAACCGGATGGATAAAAATGATGGAGTACTTAATGACGAAGGTATATTCGTAACAGACAATATATACAAAGATAATGTTTTAAAACATATTTTCACGCTCTAATTATATCTTGTAATTTTTAAAATATAAATTAAATAATAATAACATAGAAATTACACAATCTATTAAAAATAATTTAATTAACAAAAACTAAAAAAATTACACAACTGCACTTATCATTAATTTGCATCGTCATTCACGTAGGGTTCCAATTAATTGCCTAACTTTTCTCCCATGAAGAATTAATTTATTATTCCATATTCATTTCATCATAAAGATAGATCGACCTCATCTAAATGAGAGAAACCTTAATGAAGTCAATCACGCAATTAAAATATGAAAACCAAAATCGCAAAATATATATAATAAGTCGATCGAGAATTAAAAATGCAATCAAGTAATTTCTTTTATATGTTTAATGGAACACTTGAACGGGGAATCATCTCCCCTACACACCAAAACCTTCAGTTTACCAAAAACACAAAAGGGAAAAATATTTATTGGACATCCTCGAGGTGAATACACCTTCGGAGAGAGAGACAAGTGATTCAAGTGTAACATGGTAAGAAAGAAAAAAAAGCAAACAAATAAACAACCTCTCAAGTGTATTAATAAATAATATAGGCGTCCAAAAACCATGGAAAAAAAATTCTGAATTGCATTATCAATTCAGAATGGAGGGCGGGTTAATTTGCAGAATCGAAACCAGCACCGATCCATAAGGAATTTGTTGAAAAAAATTTACGAGACGGTTCCGACGACGTTGCTGAAGGCAGAAGGAGCTTGTTGAACGGGTGCGGGTTTGGCAGGGAGAGCCTTTTCGATGTCGGCGATGATGTCCAAGCAGTTTCCTCCGAGTTGGTAAACTTCGTCGGAATCTTTGAGGAAGGGAATCTTTTGGCCGCCGAAGCTGTCCTTGCAGGCGGATTGGAAGGAGATGACGGCGCTGAACTTGAACTTGGCGGTGATGACGTCTTTCTTTCCGATGGAGGCTTTGGTGTCGGCGATGGAGTCGAGCATGCTGGAGTACTGGTCCTGGCATACCTTTAGGGAGTCCTTCAAGGATTTTCCGTTGTCGGGTTTGGTGAGGAGGGTTTTGATGTCGGCGAGGGTTTTCTTGGCTTCGTCGAGGGTGGCGTCGACTTCGGCGGAGAGGGCCTGGAAGGGGTCGGCGGAGCCGTGGAAGTGGGGCTGGATGGTTTGGACGCAGAGGTTAGGGTTTGTGGTTTTTTTGCAAAGGTCGTTGAGGCTGGCCATTAGGTCGCGGCGCACGATGTGGATGTCGCGGGTGGTGGGGACGGCGGAGGAGAGGATGAGGGTGGTGAGGAGGAGGAGGAGGAGGAGGAGGGAGGAGCAGGCTTTGGTCTCCATTGTCTCTTCTCTGATGAGGAAGTCTTTGGAGATCAGAGACAAATGGAATGAGACATACGAGATTGCCTTGTTTTTTAATGAGGTCACCTTGGTTGGGCTTTAAAGGAGCATGTCCTGCATGGGAATTCGCTTAATTACCTTTCTTAAAAACTCTCCGATAATCTTGCGAATATGCTGCTTTCGCGTAGGGCTAGTGGTCTATATATGATTTCTCTCTTCTATTTTTTAATCCTCAAAATTTGGTTGCTGCTGTGAGGACAACAATTCATCCGGGAAATAGTCAATGGATCCACCATGAAATGAAATCATCACTAAGAATAAACCAGAGAGAATCATTGGGTTGCTTATTATGGTTAAATGCTTTTTTCTTTGTTAAATATAACCCTCATGTCATTTTATTATTTTCTCATATTTTAATTCTAAGTATATTGTAAAATTTTGATCATCAATTTTTTAAAAAGTAAATAATTTTAGTCTTTTAAATATCATAATTATATGTTTTTAGTATATAAAATATCGTAAAAATACTAAGATCAATGATTAGGAAACAAGTCAAAAAATCAATGTCACAAGATATTTCCAAAGGAATAAGGATTCAATTTAGAAAAAAGACCATTTAGCAAAATTAGAGAGAAGATAATCATTGAGTGTTTTGGTAATGAATGAATGAAAATTATAACACTTATAACTTAAATAAGTAAAAAAAATTGTATAATTATAATATTTAAGAAATTAAAATCATATAATTATAATATTTGATAAATTAAAATAATTTAATTAAATTTTAAAAGATTAAAATTACATAATTATAATACTTGAAAGATTATAAAATTACTGAATTAAAATTTTAGGAACTAAAATTACACAATTATAATATTATATGGATGAAAAACCAAATGAAACTACCTTTTAATTATCATCTTAAATATAATGCGTATATTTTTTTTCTAGAGATAACTAAATACAAAATTAAGGAGGTAAATAGAAGAAAGAAAAGAGAGAGTGAGAGTGAATTGATATTCGGACAGCTAATAATTTGAAAGATCTGATTAAAATCTATAATTCTTCTTTTTTCTCTATTTTTTTTATCAAGTCATATTACTTAGCACACAGTATATATTTCTCTCTTTTTTCTTTCTTTATTTCTCTAGATGTCAAGATTTGAGAGTTGAGTGTCGCCGTCCACCAATTATTTCCCAAAAAGAAAAAACTTGACACACTGGAAATTGAGTCATTTGAAACATTATCCAAATACAATGATTCATATGGGTGTGATGAAATCATTCAAAGGATTTTTTTAATTAGACGTTTTAAGAAATTATAAACCAGTTTAATTAAATCACTAGCTAGAGGATCCCTTACGGATATATTTTATTTAGGGTGCTTATGATTTTTTTTTCTGCGTAATTGTATGTTTGCATCTTTTTTGGTTGATTATAGGAAAACTAGTGACGAAATTCATATTAAAGAATGATTTACGTGTTGGAAGACAAAAAAAAATTTTAAACTATTATTTTAGTTTTAGTTAGAGAAAATTATTTGTGTCATAATTGTCCACAAATTAATTTGTGTCCAAATGAATCTAAGACCAACACGCAAGCAAAAATAAAATACAGTGGAGGGAACTATCGATCTTGTACGTTGTCAAATCGATAGAAGTTTGTGTGGAATTATTCAAAGGAATGACACTTGTGAATGTCCTATTTGATATTATATCTTCATTTATAAATAATGTGATAAGAATAAAAAATAAAAATAAATAATAAGTGTTGATAGGTATATAATATGCAAAGGTATATATATATAAATTTTGTTAAAATCGAATAATATAAATAGTTCATATTTTCATAAAAATAATTCATATTTTAATATATATTAAAAATATATAATATATAAATTTTGATTTAAATAAATATAATATCAAAAAAATTTAGGATTAATATACAATATAGGATATATAATATTATGAAAAAGAAACTTTTAATTTATCGATAAATTTTAAAAACTAATTCATTTTCAATTACAAATTATTGAACTATGTAATTGAATTATGTAATAGTTACTTAAAAGTATACATGTATAATTTAAAACTTCCTCTATATATACGCTTACACATAAATAAATAAATATATATATATATATATGTTTATTTAAAAAATAAGTTTATCTAAATTTATTTCGTTTAATAACTTTTATTCTACATCAAATTTTAATCATTTAACTCTTGAATATAAAGTTTTTAATGCATAAATCAAATTTATAAATTTTTAAAAAAGTTTAAAAATCATTTAAAAGTATACACTTTGACATTATTAGTCGGAACTTGGTATGAAGGATAACAATAGATACGTACATGCAATTAATTTGCAAGACAAAAACAACAATTGGATTAAACACATCGAAAGCAAACTTTGTTTTCCAACCACTAAAAACCAACAAAGTTTCTGAACAATTGGATTCTACTAATTGCAGAAATTAAGAAGAATTCATTTTCCTGTAGTTTAGAATAGCATCTGCACGTTCCTGCACCACCTTCCAGGCCATGATGACATGCATTTTTTCAGTTAAAGTTGCTCCTATGGCACACCTAATAATGAAAACCCCTCCAACAATAGCATGAGTCATGTATACAGTGCCTGAACCATTGATGGAATCAAGCAACTTACGATTGATTTCATTTGCAACATCCTCGGTTTTGAGGTGTCCATTTTGGACCTTGCCATTACCAATCTTTGCAACTGCTGATGGTATAAGCCTAAAGCAGACCAAAGCAAGATTTCTAGGTACAAAAATCTCAAACCTCTTATCCTGCCTCACTAACTCCTCAAAAGTTTTGGCCATTTCAACGTGGCTTCTGAGCCAACTTCTAAGATTAGCAACACCATAGCTTCGAAGAACAAGCCAAACTTTCAGTGCACGAAATCTTTTGCTCAAGGTTATCTGCCAATCCTTGTAGTCCACCACTTGCTTTGAGTCAGAAGCACTGTTCTCCAAGTACACTGAATGTGTTGATAGGGACTTCACCAAAGAAGTTGGATCCTTCACCCAAAGACAACAACAATCTAGGTTAGTTAGAAACCATTTGTGAGCATTGAGACTAAACGAGTTTGCACCCTCAACTCCATCAATCAAGTGTCTGAACTCGGGACAAATACACACACTTCCAGCATAAGCAGCATCAACATGGACCCACATGGCATATTCTTTTGCCACCTTGCACAGTGGTCCTAGTGGATCAATTGCAGTGGTTGAGGTTGTGCCCACAGTGACACAAACATAACAAGGAACCAACCCATTTTGAACATCTGTTTGAATAGCAGATAACAATGGTTCTGGCAATAAAGTGAATGAAGTTGACTTCATAGTCTTGATGACCCTCAAATTTGTGGGGTGAATTCCTATTACATGAGCAGCTTTCTGAACAGCACAATGTGTTTGATCAGAGACATAAACAACTAGCTTCCCTATGTTTTCTCTACCAATTTGGCTAAGTATTTGATCTCTAGCAGCAACTAGTGTGACCAAAATGGCCTCACAAGTCGTACCTAACAACACACCTCCACCACTACCTGAAAAGAGAAAATCCCTAGGGAGATTCAGCACCTGGCCAAGCCAATCCATGACAGTGTTTTCTAGCTCTGTGGCTGCTGGTGAAGACACCCAATTGAACCCCACCGAGTTGAATCCTGTGCTCAGCATCTCACCCAGAAACCCTGCAGTGCTGCCACTGGAGGGAAAGTAAGCAAAGTAATTAGGGCTTTGCCAGTGTGTTATGCCAGGGATTATGTGTTGATGCAAATCTTGAAGGATGGTTTCAATTGGTTCAGGATTGAGGGGGGCAAAAGAAGGCATGAGTTTTCTGAGATAACCAGGCTCTACTTGACTCAAGACTGGATAGTTAGCAATATTCTGGTAATAATCAGCAAGGAAGTCAATTATCATGTGCCCTTGCCTCCCGAATTCTTTTGGATCTAAAGGGTTCATGATGAATAATTGTGGGGGGTAAGCTTGCAGCTTGTAGAAAATATATAGATGTAGAATATGGACACCACTGGAGTGTCCTATGTAGTTATAGTCAATCTTTTTATTTTTGGTTTCAGACTAGAGAGTACTTTTGTCCAAACATTAGGCATCCTATTTTTATAGGCTAAATTGTATTTATATTTTATTTTTAAAATTTATTTTGGTTCTTTATTATTTAAAAAAAAAAATTTGGTTTTTTATTTTTTAAATTTAGGTGAATTTAATCCTTCCACAATATTATTTTTATTTTGAGACATGATTTTGAATACTATTTTTATTTTTATTATTAGGCACAATTTACAAAGAATTGTTAAATTTTTTTTATAAAATACTTTATAATTTTTATAAAGCATTGATTTTATTTTTCACTTTTTTCCTATTAAAAATTGTTCAAGGTGTGTTTCTCTATCACCTTTTAGACTTTTTAATAGTAATTTATCATTTTAATTGATGTTGGTGCTTAAACATTTCTACGAAATAATATCTTCATTTCTTATGAAAATTTAATGATAAATAAGAAAATAAAATTGGTAAATCATGATTTTATTTCTAATGTCTACTTATTTTTTTCCAACCACCTATGTGAAGTTAATGTTGCATTTATGAGAACAATATATTTCTAACGAAATATAAAATACAGAAAAAAGGACAATTATTTGCACACTCTAATAATCAATGCATTAATTTTTGGACTTCTCAAAAGGTGGATAACAATAATAAATGTACGTAAATCACGTAAAATAAAGTGTATAATAGAAAAGTAAGTAATAAATACTTTTGAAAATTAAAATATCAATAATTTCTTTAAGTCTTGTACAAAAACCTTAAATGATTACGAAAAAAAAACTGAAGTAAAAAAATCACGTAAAAAAGAGTCTAACGAATGACCAAACAATTAAAAAAAAAAATCTAATATCATATATATTTTTTTTTCATAAAATCTTATTTTCATACTATTTTCACCGTGCTTATATACCCTTTTTGTTTCAAATATCAATTGAAACTCATAGATTTATATATGTAAATTTAATAAAAATAAGTTTCATCTATTTTAAATCAACACTAGTAAAAATATGATCTACAAAATCGGTTATACAACCCATTTTGTTTACATCAATATTATATCCGAGCATTTTTAAATTGAGTAATGATAATTTTAGAAACTACATTTAAAAATTAAAATGGATTGTTAACAACTTATATAGTATATGTTTGTTCCATAAAAGTGGCCTGCTCTATTGCTATCACGCCAACTTCTCATTTTGACTGCAAAACCAAATTGTTAATGTTCGCTCCAAGGTCCTCGTCGATGTCACCCACATCATCCAACAAAAAGGCCACCTTCTTTGTGGTATATGCAACCCAAACACAATCATAAGCCCCGCCACCCAACAAATTTGGAAGCCAGTATCTCCACCAATCAAGTGAACCAACACGAGCAAAATAATACAACTTTATTAATAATTATAGGTGTAAAGTTGTTTTATACCATCATTCAATCACAAATGATGTATGATAGGTTTGTTTGTCTTTTAAAATAACTATTTTATAATAAGTCATACCTGTAAATTCCAGCCTTCATATGTCATTCATGATTTCCCCAATATAATTAATTAATTCCAAAACATACTCTAGGTTGTTCTCTGAATAATATTGCTTTAGCTAGTGTTTGTGTGGTTGAGTCCATGGATGCTTTAAGTGAGAATTATCTGATCCAGAGGATTTATTGTGCTTTTTCATTGCTTTTAGATTTATGAGAATGATTTATCGACAGTTCTTCTACTACAAAAACAAAAGTAAAAAAGAAAGTATAGATTGGAAAAGAATTCCAATTGGAAGGGGGATATCTAATGGTTTGGCAAAACACCCCACTTTGATACTTAAGTCCTCGGGAATTAGATTCTATAGCCTAGTAAGCTAAAAATCTTTCCCCAAATGGTTTTTCAGTTTACTAATATTGAGAATGTGATGATAATTTGTGGAGAATCCTATTCAACTATTTATCATATATTAGAACTAAGAGTTTGTGATGTCAAAAAGTCTACCTTTACGACCTGGCCTTGAACAGTGAGTTATTTCATATTCTTTTAATATAATTGCATGTCTCATCTATGTGTTTTATTTATGGGGAGCTATCTTTTAAAAGAACTATATTTTTTGGTGCAGTTAGGAGAACAAGCTGTACATTAGTTAAAGGAGAGCAGTCTCTTTAAACCTGAATTTTCCTATTGAGTTATCATACCTAGATTCTTTCACATTTTAAGTCTGAGTCACTTAGTCATTCTAATGGTTTTTGTTGCCATAGATGTAATTTTGACACTATTGGTTTTTCAATTTTTTCTTCTCGTCAATAGCAAACACACTATTAAACAGGGAGTATTTTACTAATTGAAAGTTATTCTAGGCCCATGAATACATAAGGATAATTTTGAGTTATTTTTTTTAAATACACCCTCGTTAATTAATATTATATCTCTCATACTTTTTTTCTTTATTTATTTCATAATTTTTTTTCAGAAAATATTTTTAGAATGTACTTTTTAGAAGTTTTTTTTTCCTTTTAGAAAATAATTTCAAGATTTTTTTCTCTCCAAAAAGTACTATGTTCTAGTACTCCCAAACTTTGAAAAGAAAAAATATACTTCTAAAAGTATTTCAAAACAAAAAAATATATTTCTAAAAAGTACTTCTAAAAGACAGAAATATACTTTCAGGAAGAACGTTTTGGAAGAGAAATATTCTTACCTTATCAAAAAATATTTTCCAAAAGTATATTTTAAAAATCAAAAAGCATAATTTCAAAATGGTAATAATAAATTGTTTCTAATCAATAATTTATTGTAAAATCAACATGTCACACGTTTGGAAATGACATCTTCATCAAGTTCACAACCTTATATCCAATGTATGCAATATTGAAGATAGAGCGAAACATTTAGCTTAAAAAATATTAAAATTAAGAGTGTAAAAATAGTGTTTAGAAAAATAATAAAGACAAGTCAATGAATATTTTGATTGTTAGAGAGAGAAAAAATAAAAGTAATAAAGAAAAAAAACTACTAGGATTAGCCTAGTGGTTGAAGGAATGAGATTGGAATAATTAAAAATGAGAACATAAATTTAATCCTCATTACTCATTTGTTATGTGTCCTATAAATAAATAAAAAAAGTAATAAAGAAGAAGATTGAATAAAGAAAATAGATTTTAGAAATAAAATTTATTTTAAAAGAGTAATAAACTAAAGGGTATTTAAGAAAATTTTAGAAAAAAAATGAGAAAAGAGGCAAATCTATTAAAAGGAGAGGTGTAGATAACATTTGCCTAATTTTGGGCTAGGTGCTTTCCCCTAGAATTTAATTTGGTACCTACTAATTAAAAATAATTTTGGTTTGCATCAAACTTGATATACTGAGACAATAAGTTAAAGCTATTTGTGCAACTTGATAAACAGCTCTGCTTTGATATCCAGGTGACTCAGCTTATGGTGCAATCGTTTGAGATCACACAAGAAATTGGATTTCATCGTTTTCTGGTGCTTGTGGAGTTACATCTAGTCAGAGTTGTTTGCTATTTTTCATGGACTCCGCAAGGCATGAGATGATGGCTTTCTACACATTATTTTTGAGTCAGGCTTCACTCTTGCTTTCATACATATGTGATATACATGATTAACGAGGGAGATTAACGAGAGTTGAAGCTTTCATTGGCCTGGTTGCTGCCTGGATGAGACATCTCATGTTTCAGTGAACTAATAAGGTGCATGTAAACATAATCAATTGCTTTACAATAATTAATGTTAGTATCTTGATGTTTAAGGAAATCTTTATGGGTCCAGCTTCCATGATTCTGCGAGTAAAAGCCATTAGGGAGTTTTTTAATAATCTACTTTAACCATCATCAACTAATATAATCTTTAGCATTTTTATATAGTATCTACAAATTTCTAGAGACATAATTTGGAGTGTTTTTAGTCATGACTCTCCCCCCTAATCATAATTTTTTAAGCACACTTTGCTATTATCTTGCTTTACGGATATGTTGATAATGGGAACATGAATTTGACTTTTGGAAATCTCTATGGCTTAGTGGTCCCTTTAAAAAGCATAAAATCTAGCTACAACTACAATAGGCTAGGAGACACCCCTCTTGCTTTCTTATAGCATCTCTATGAAGAAAAAATCATTAGATCGTTTTGGCAATATTCCCCATTGTAGAAATTAAGCTTGGCTGAGAAAAATGATAAATTGGAATTCTCAAGTGCTCAAGGCCATAACGTTTCTTCTCACATAAAAGGGGCAAGTTTCTGACAATTCACAAAATTATACAAAAGTGTCATCTTCACTATCTTTTTCGTGTAATGTACTAATGTGGTATAGTCCCTATTATTCACGGGGGAAAAAATGATATCTTCACTAGAACATGAGGGTCCCTATCATACCATTTTGCCAAGCCCTTCACATAGAAAACAAAGCATGGCTAACATGGAAATCATGTTTTTTTGTCACAGGGAAGAAAATGTGCATATATGATTTAACATATCTTCCGAGAAAGACAAACCATGCAATCGGTTTTATCCACCTTGTCCCCCAGGGATCCCATAAGATCCGAGGCCCAAAATGGATAATGCAGGACAATATAATGGGGCACATTTTGATTACATAACATTCATAAGTGCTTCTTTCTCTAGCAAAGTTTCCCTTTTCCTCTCATTCAAGCTTTTATTAATGAGCGCAAATAGCTGTGCCAATATCATATGTACTGTAACTACAGCACTTAGAGTGAGCGCAAAAACTTGAGAGCGAAAGATCAAGTAACAAAAAAATATCATTAGAAAATTTATGTTTGCAATGTAATATAGTAAAGGAACAAAAATTGTTTTCGAACAGCTAGAGTTGACTAAAATAAATGTCACGGCAGCAATTCACTGGTACAATTTTGATTCTTCACTCATTAAATCTAAGTGTCACAAGTACTTCGAAAAAACTCAAACTCAAAATTTGATGATAAAAACATAACTACAAACCTCTGATGGTGATGGATGTTCCTTTTTCATAATTTGAACA